GGTGCATTGATTTATAGAATGACTTATTTTGGTCAAAAATTCAAAAAAAGAGAATTGAAACGAAGAAAACAGTTAAAAAATTCAATTCTGAGGAATAGAATATTTTTAATTTATTTATTAAGAACTCACCTGATTTTAGATTTGTTGGTTATAAATTTGAAATAAACAGACACTTGAAATTCTTCAGATTATCAACAACATTGTAGTTGAAAGCAGCTAAAAGGTACTTGGTTTTGAAAAAGACAATAAAATTTTATGCTCTGTTGATATTCTTAATGACCATCCAATATTTTATACTTAGTGACGTATTTATCCGTATTTATGTTACATAAGATCTTATAAATGAGAAAACACTACTTGTAAAATAAAATTCATTATTCAAAATATCAGTTCAGAAAGTATAATTACTAATAGAGATTTGATCAATGTTGCTATACTTTTTAGTGAACTTTCATTTATCATTCCGTCCCACATGTCAACACAACCATTTTCATGTATTTTTTATGTTATGTATTTTAGATAATTAATCATTTTAACTTATAGAGTAGTGCTTTTATGTCATTTGTAAGTATACTTTTTTCTTTCCATCTGTATCAAACGTGTAAATCGAGTAGTAAAATACATCATTTTATATAATGTAGAATGACTTGGGATACTCTTGTACTTAGATCCGTTTGTAAGTTGGACTCTTACATTTACGATTTTGTCAATTGAACTATTAAACTCGCTGATTTTCTCATTGTTTAAATCTCGACGAAATATTGTTGATTTTTGTTGTTATTTTTAACCCTGGTACTTTTTGCCACTTTCAACTTCTGTGTAAGTGATACTCTCAATACTTTAAAACATTTCTCTTTCTAGATTTTAATCAATAAATCTACAGTAAGGTGAATTCATAAAATTTCAATTTAAAAATTATATTTTTCTTTAAAGGATCAAATTTTCAACTTTTTCCTTCGTTTTGACTCTCTTTCTATTACATTCATAAAAATATTTGAAAAAATAACCCCTTTATTTGTTGTTTTTCCTCAAAATCTTTTTTCCCTTGGCATAGTGAAGAGTGACTATAAGAACTGTAGAGAATGGAAAGAGCAAACACATTGAATACTAATTGTAATGATTTGATTTTTTCATATTCTTTCTGGATTATTTGATCAATAACTTGTAAGTGACAAAACTATTTATAATTTTTGATGAGGCTTGTTATGTGGACGAAATTTTACAAAATCTTAAGTTTCTTTGATATTTTTAAAAATGATTTCCATTTTCTTTTGAAAAACATGACACTTCACCTTTTTGATTAATTGTTTTTTGTTTTAAAAAAATAATTGTTGTGTGCAAATCGTAAGAAGATAATAGTGATCCCCTATTGGTAGTGAAACTATGCTTCCATTTTCCTTTCATAAAAAAGGAAGAGATGAATTAATAAA